CAATTTCAATAACACAATAAATATTATTTTATATATACACTAGGTGTAACCTGTCGTGCTGCACCGGGGATAAAACTTCTTAGTATTTTGATAATAAATATTTACAATATGGTAAGGTTAGACTAATAAATTTATATAATCTATATAATTTACATATTTAATTCTATTTCATCATTTTTAGGTCCTTTAGTTCTTCCAGTAAGGTTCAGTTGTTTTTCACTTCACATTTCGTTTCTTACTAATTTTTTTATTTTTTATTTTGTTTCTGTTTCATATTTCATTTTTCACTAATTTATTTTATTTTTTTTCAGATATTTTAATTCTTTCAGTTCTACAATTAATAAAGGTATTTTTTTTATTTATTTTTTTTTTTTTATTTCATTTTTATCTTATATTTCATTTCTTACTAACTTCATTTTTTGTTTACTTTATGGTTTATTTTTTACTTTGTTTCCTCNTACTAACTTCATTTTTTGTTTACTTTATGGTTTATTTTTTACTTTGTTTCCTCATGATCACTTTTTTATTTTTGTCTCTCATCATTTTTCACTTTATACTACTTCTCATTATTTGTCTCCCATTATTTTCTATTACATCTTCATTTTCCATTATTTCATTTTCTTTCCTATTTACTTCCCATCATTTTTTTTGTCTCTCAATCACTTCTTTTCATTTCCATTACTTCTTTTCGTCTCTTATCACTTCTTTTTATCTTTCATCATTCCTCTTTGTCTTCCATCTTTTCTTTTCGTCTCCCATCACTTCTTTTGTCTTCCATTACTTTTTTTCGTTTCTCATTACTCCTTTTCGTCTCCCATCACTTTTTTTGTCTTCCATCACTTTTTTTCATCTCCCATTACTCCTTTTCATCTCCCATTACTCCTTTTCATCTCCTATCACTTCTTTTCATCTCCAATTACTTCTTTTGTCTTCTATCACTTTTTTTCGTCTCCCATCAATCCTTTTCAGTTCGTTTCCCATCACTCCTCTTCATCCCTCATCACTACATTTTGTCTCTAATCACTCCTATTTGTCTCCCATCACTCCTCTTCATCTTCCATCACTTCTTTTCGTCACCCATCACTCCTATTCGTCACCCATTACTCCTTTTCACTTCTCTTCGTCTACAATCACTCCTTTTAGTCTCCCATAACCCCTCTTCATCTTCCCATCACTCCTTTTCATCTTCCATTACTCCTCTTCATCTTCCCATCACTCCTCTTCATCTCCCATCACTCTTTTTCATCATCCATCATGTCCTATTTTCCTTTTTGTTTCCTATCACTTCTCATTACTCTTTTTTACTCCCTTTCTTCTTCTATTACTTTCCATTACTCCATTGTTATTTCATTTTTTTTATTTGCATCTTTCTCTTTGATCATTGTCATTTACTTATCTTTTTTATTTATTGTTATTGTTTTTTTTATTGTATCACTTAATTAAAAATAAATACAGTGATTTTTTTCTTTAAAATCGAAAATGTGGGACTTAAATTTTAAAAAATTTCATTTAATAAGATTATTTTGAATAAATATGTTTGCAAAAAAAATTTTTTAAAAAATACCTTCACAATAAAATTTTGTTTAACTGATCAAAAATTAGCTAAGTTAAAAAAATCTATACATTTGCCGATCAAATAAATGGCCTTAACTTTTAAGTTTAAATCAGGCACTGAATCATGCTACACAATTCAAGATTATTTATACAGACTTAATCTAAACGTTAGAAGATCGACATGTATTTTTTTATTATATTATATAGATATTTATATAAGCTTCTAATAATTTTATTGGAATTGGAAGTGGCATTGGACTGAATGCCAAAGCATTTTCAACTTTTCAGCAATCCATGAATGGCATTTGATCACATGAAAAAAAGTATAAGTTGTTAAAATAAAGTGAACTGTTTTATTTTTTCCATTTTATATTGACAGTTGCTTTTATCATGAAATCGTTATCTATTAGCTTATTAATGACATGCTTATATTCCTATGATTAGTTCCTTTTTAACTCCTTTTCTTTGAACAATTCTTTTTAATTTTTATAATTATTTTATAATATTTTGACAAATTTTACTATTATATTATTTATATTTAATAAATAATTATGTTATAATGACATATTCTTACATAATAAAGAATAAACTTTTTATTAAATTATAAATTTTATGACTTTATGAATTGAACAAATTCCAGAGTGGTAGAAGCTGTTATTGCAAATAGTGCATGCTCTGAGAATCACCTTCTATTGTTCACATACAATAGAAAAACTTGTTGAATAATACCTAATAAATAGCTTTTACTATCGGCATATAGTAAATACCTTTTGGAAGGAATGGAAATTTATTAGAACTAAGAAATAAACTTTTTGAGAATGAGTTAATAAAGATAGATGAGATACTTGTTAATAATATTGCATAGGTAGTAAAGCATTATTTGGAGCTACTCTTAAAGATTCCCTATAAAAAAAGAAAATTCAGAATTTGTCCTAAAAAGTATGAAAAATGTCCAGAAATTTTCCATGCATCCAGAAAACATTCAGAAATGGTCATGTTTTGGAACACTTTCTGGACGTACAAATTCCAGATATTTTCTTAACACTCCAGAATTTGTCCAGAATTTGTCCAGAATCGAGCATCTGGAAAATGTTCCAAAACATGACCGTTTCCGAATATTTTTTGGATGTACAGAAAATTTTTGGACATTTTCCATACTTTTCAGGACAAATTCTGAATTTTCTTTTTTTATAGGAATTGTGAACTTGATTCTTATTTGGTGGCATAGTTAGTGGTAGGCACCCAATCCAAATGATCGACATAGTTTATAAGCTGAAACTTCGTGCACAAAACCTCAGCTAAGAAACTGCCCATGGGCAGATTTGCCCATGGGATTTGATTGGCTAATACTTAATTGGTATATATCGGCCAAATAAGGTAACTGAATGCAGATTTGCCTATAAACCAGCATGTGAGGATTGCATTGATATAAATTTTGTACTACCTAATAACCAAAAAAAGTCAAAAAAAAATTAAGGTTACACAGTAATTCTGACTGAAGTTGAAATCATTATAGCCAGAATTAAGCTAATTCTGGTCGACCAGTTTCTGTATAATAATTCGTCCAATTAAATTCCATCAATTCCTTTACCAAATGCGCAGTAATTTCTGGCCAAAATTAAGGTAACCGGCCAGAATTAAGTTATTTTGGCTGGACAAAATTGTCCATTTCAAATGAACCAATCAAATTTCATCAAATCATTTACCTAATAGACAAAATTGTCCGCTTTAAATGAGCCAATCAAATTTCATCAAATCATGGACAAAATTGTCCATTTTATATGAACCAATCAAATTTCATCAAATCA